TATCTACCTTATATCTTCAGCTTATTTTCTGTATTTCATTTTCACTTCACTGCTTTCACCTACCAAGGTTTTTCTATTTAAAATAAATAAAATGTCATTTTTCTAAAAAAAAAATACAACTTGTGTCCCATAACCTATCCAAAAATTGTTGTTACATTTGGAATAGGCCACCTACACTCACATTACAGAGACACTGGGTGGGGCACCTTCGACACTGTAGAAGAGAGATATGTCAGCTGCCCCAAGCAGGGAAGGCTCTAACTGGTCAGAGATTTAATCAAGCCCCAGAAGCTTCTCTGACAACAAAATTGTATCCACAATCTTCAAAGAGGCTAAAATCGTTTTAAGACCAGAGTAGGAATAAGAAACTTCAGTTTCTAGGGATTATTTTATTTTAGCACAAACGAGGAAATATGCACCCCCTTTTTTTAAACCTAGAGACATAGAAAGAGGTAAAATTATAGTTCAAAATATCATTAGTGATAATATACAAAAAAGATCACAAGGTAAAGATATCTTTCCCCTTATAAGTCTGTGCTTGGTCTGTGTTTCTGGATGTGACAGAATCCCAGGAGAGGCAAGGAGATGTTTGAAGGGCCCCACAGCAAAGTGGTTCCTCTTAAGAGACCCAAAATACAAAGGACCCACTTAAGACAGTGTTTCTCAACCACAGCATGAGGGACATTTTGAGCCAGGTAATTCTTTGCAGAGGGGGTTTTCCTGTACATCGTCCCATGTGTCATCTACCCACTCGATGTCTGTAGCTGTTCCTCCCAACAGCTATGACATCCAGCTATGACAACCAAAGTCACCTCAACATCAGCTCCAATAGTGGCCAAATGTCCAAAGTAGGCAGGGGGGATGACAAAACCACCCCAGGTTGAAACCCATGGATTTAAGGTAAGGGAGCATCTGATACTTCTTATCTGACACTGATTCTCTTCAGAAGAAAGAGACTCAGTAGCACAAGCCATGAAAACTTTTCATTTCTTGCAGCTGTAATTTTCCCAGGTTTGCCCATGGTGAGATCAGTAAAATAGGAAAGAAAAATAACTCACTGTAGTGTGGAGGCAACAAGGAACAGGAAAGCCGAGGAACCCTGACACAATCCATTTGAGAAAGACCCAAGAACCCAGGGGACTAGCTGGGCGATGCCAGGGCTGAGGAGGGGATGCACACAGCACTAAGGCATAAAGGCAAAGCAGGCTGCAGACCCAGATTTGCCCGAGACTCAGCTCAGACAGCAGGACCCTGAACGGCAGTCAACTTCTCACCCCAAAAAAGGCCACCCTCCCCAAAATTTACCTCACAAAACCACCTCACAGAAAGAATGAGGGTGAAAGGAAAAATCGTGAAGGTAGTATTTTCAAACGTTTGAATTGCCTCCTTCAGATATTCCAAAATGGACCTCCTTCATGTTAAAAACAAAAATAAAAAGAGGGAAAAATCTTCGGTCAATGATGTCAGAGCCATCATTCCCTACAACCCTAACCAACTGTAAAACCCATAATGGGGCACCCCACAAGAGAAGTGAAAGCTTAGCCATGGAGAGATTGGGGAGTCCCCAGAGAGGAAGTCACTTCCATCCTTAAATTTTCTCTCTATGTATAAGGGGTGGGGGGACTTCATTTCTTGAATTCTGCTCTGATTTATAATCATGAAAAACTTTCCAAAGTGATCAGCACTTCCCTAAAAGGAAGTGAGAATGACACAGAGCAGAAATGACAAAGGGTAATAAAACAGAACGACAAGGACAGCTCTGGGCTAAGAGGTTTCCATTTCATTTTTTTTTCAATGCTTTTAGACTTTAATATAACTGCATAAAACTAAAATATCAAATTTTTAAATGGCTCCTATTTTCTGAAGCCACTAGAAATAACCCAAGTTTTTCTGCTTGTTTTGATTTTCGTAAACCAGGGCTGCATCTTTCTGTACACAAGAAAAAACTTTTGAAAGGAAGAGGAATCCCACATAAATATCACTTTGGAAATTGTTTTGTGGGTGATCACAAAACAAAAGAGAAAATGGCACAAAGGACCCAGCTACCATCCTTGGGCCCACCTGTGCAGACTGGCCACAGCAGACTTGATAGAATGATCAGGTCCACACAGCACATAAAGAATCAACAAGCCCTCTACCCCCCGCCAGTAAAACCCTTGACCAAAGGAAAGGTTATGCCCTGAAAGAGTAACCTGGTCCATAATATCCATTACCAGAGAGGCCAAAATAGTGGGAACTAAAGAAAAAAAGCAACAACCCAACCACTGGCCTGAAAATTGGGCTTTGTGATGTGGGGACTTCACAACACTTTTCTTGGTCTCAATGTTCACATCTGTAAAACGGACTAGAGTGTGAACTAGTCTGTTTTACTGGTCCCTTGCCAGTTTTGTGTCATCCATCCATCCATCCATCCATCCAACAAATATCTGTTGAGCCACAGATGTCAAGCACTATTCCAGGTGCTAGGGAAAATCAGTAAACATCCCTAATGGATTTATATTACAGATTCTGAAACTTTCAGTGTTTTTCAGACTATAGGTTGTAAAACCCAGTTAGCATGACCAAATGAGCATTTTCAAAAGAATCATTGGAACAGTTTAAAATCTCAGAGTACATCACACATAGGGAGAACAAGTTCTGTTTCAGCCACTGACATTTCCGCTGATGAGGGCTGGGGGTCAAGAAGTCTAAGTCATTTCTGAATGTGGGCTGGCTATATCGACCTGATAAAGACCTCTTTCTGTTCCAGCCACTGGCCCTCATCCAGTCCCACATACAGACTGCTTCTTAGGAACAGTCTGTACATAGATTAAATCTGATTATTTTCTCAATGGCCCCATGATGGCATTTTGGATAAATATCAAAGAATTTGTGTTTCAGATCAGTATTCCCAACCTTTCTGAGTAGCAGTTCTTTGAACGTCAGTCCTTCCTTAAGCACTACTTGTCTGCCGATTAAGGAAATGCACAGTGCCCTGGCTAGATGGCTCAGTTGTTTGGCATGTCATCCCAGACACCAAAAGGTTGCAGGTTCAATTCCCAGTCAGGGTACATACAGGAAGCAACTGATCGATATTTTTTTCTCACACTGATGTCTTCTCTCTCTCCCCTCTCCCCTCTCCTCTCTTTCTAAAGTCAATAAGCATATCCTTGGGTGAGGAGAAGGAAGGAAGGGAGGGAGGGAGGGAGGGAGGGAGGAAGAGTTCAGTGGCCAAAAACCACAGGAACTTTGAGACAGATTGATGTTGTATCCCTCCTGAGAGCTCCTGCAGATAAACAAGGAGAACTGGCACAAAGGATTCATTCCATCTAGGCCCCAAGCATTAAATGATGTTGAAAAAGATGGCAGGCTACCTGTGCCTTGAAGGGCCCCAGGAACAGAGACTGGAAATAACTAATCCAGGTCCCACTGCATTTGAGTATTTGAAAATCCCCATGTTCTTACTAGATGACTCCTTATAGCAGTTTCTATTTGTTTTAATGCTCTCCCCCTCCTTTTTTCCAAAGGAAACAAACCACTAAATTTGAATGCTAGCGAGTAGCTGAGTTTGGTTTCTGTTGGTCACTTGGTGTTTCATAATTTTGTTTTTAATCCCATCAGCCCAGACTTCTACAGGTTGCTCCTAGGGACTAAAATACTAATTGCTGGAAATGTGCCTGGAAACCCTACATACCCAACCCTACCAACTGCTTTTGTTTTAACAGAAAACATCAAAGGCAGCCACTATGGCAACTGGGAGAGTGAAAGGACCTGAGACAGACATGAGAATGGATGAGAAGTAAGACCAGCAGCATGAATCCTCCTAGAATTTTGCACCCTATGCACGCTGATCCTGCACAGTCGACCTCAAGTCAGGTCACTGCGACTCCAGCTTCCATGACCATGGTCACTTGAGCTTCCCTTTTTCACCGAGTTTGAACTTGCCCACTCCCACTGTGTGTTGCTCTTATAACGTTTCCTACACACAGGACTGATGGCCCCATATTTTTAGGGGCCAGGCATAGGGGAAGACCCCTTTATGACAGAGGTCCCTGGTGGTCCCAGCAGATAAACAGCCACTGCCTACCAGCTCCCAACTTCCAGAGAACAGCTCTAAACTGGTATTTTCCACATTTTCCCTTCCTGGAAATCCGAACTACACTCCAAGGGTGGTGGTTGTGGGTTGCAACCAACCCCTCAGGGAAGGGTGCAAACTCGCAACATAAACACTGATAATGAGGTTTCTTGTTGGCTCCTTTGCCATTTGTTTTCTAAATCACCTACTTTTTAAACTTACAAAAGCAAAAGATTATAAGAAAAAAAATGAACTTCAAAGAAAATTTTTCTGGCAAATTACAGAGGAGGTCATTTCCCTGTCACCAAGCATCAGCTATAAAACTAGGGAACTGGCCCAGACAGTGGCTCAGGCTGTGCTCAGCTCTGTGCTACCCAGTGCTCATGAAGCCGGACACTCCTGACAGTAGCCCTGGCTCTCAGAACACTCTTGTACTTGTGGATACAAGAATGACCAAAGGAATAGCCACTTTAAGTTTTTCAATCTAAAAAAACCTCTTGCCTGGTATTTCCGAATGTTACACCTAGTATTCCAGAACAAAATTCGTGACAACCTCCATAAGAAGGACCTGGAATGTTGTCATCTTAACAAAGACAAAATCTAGGGTGGAGGACTCTTCATAAATTATATAGGTGACTTGGAAAGGCCTCAGACACCCCCTTTTTGATTATGTATCAGCTCAGTGAATTCAGTGACCAAAAGTGCTCATGCAAACAGTACTACCTTTAAAATCTAAAATCCATGCACATATTATGTGTGTACATATATACACACAGCACACATTTAATGAGCCATCTGTCTCCTTGGAATCTAAACAGCTTTCTTCACCATTTTCAACACAGAAACACCCTTGTCCATCTTTACACTAATGATTTCAAAGCCAGGCAAACCCCAAATGGGATCCAGGTTTTATTACAGCAAAATGAACTTGAGAAAACTCAGTTACCAAATTTCTGAAGAACAGGAGATCCAGGTGGAGATGGATTTCCACTGGGAGACAAGTAGAGGTAGTTTTTGTTCACTCCAGCAGCAAAATCAAATGGGGACTGGTAATCTTCATCAAGCTCCATGTCCCTGTGTCCCTGAAGTCTGTTCCAGAATGTGAGGTACATGGCTTGGTCACCACCAGGTGTCCTTCAGCTGTGGGCCACTCTAGCCACACTGCTTTCCATGGTTGCACCCTCCACTGGCCAAAGGGTCCACTCAGGCAGGGTTTGGGGACTGGCCTCCCAGCCTTCACGCTTCCTTCCCAGAGCTTCACACGCACAGATCATGCAGGCTCGTTTAATAAATGACCTCAGAAGGGCTCTGCTCCCCACCTGCTGTTCACTGGGGCCAACAAGGAACAAGCCTGTGGGAGTGGCACTTTCTTGGGTCAACAAAGGAGGGCCATGTCCTGCAATGCCACTTATGGGTACCAACTGTTCCAGAAACGCCACACACTAGCACAGTCACAGAAACTACCAGGGCTTTTTTTTTTTTTTTTTTAAACAGAGTCAGCTGACCAAAACAACACCAAGGAAGACTTAATCTCCTAGGACAACAAAGGATTACCAGACAGTAATCTCCCGCAAATGCCATCTGGGCAATGCATTTTTCTACATGGATTACAGCACAATTCTAAAGCCAAGCTTCCTGCATTTGCCATTGGCTTTCTAAGTACAACTTGGTATAGAATTATTTCCACTATCATTTCATCTAAAGCAATGTCTGACCTTGCGTAACAAAATTTCAGTCTGACCTTCCTTCCCTCCCCTACCCTCTCCTTTTCTGGAAAGACCATGTTTTGGTTATACATACTGCAAAAAGAAGAATCAACTCTCAAGGCACAGAGCCCAGTTTCCTGAACCTTCTTTGTTGAACTCGGGCCAGGCCCATGCAGGTGTAACAAACCTGTGCGCAAACACGCAGGAAAAGCGCATTTCCCTTTGCTCAGCATGCCCTGCAGAAGACTGGGGCCCAGCCTGCCCATCAAACAAATGTCTAAGTTACCAGATTCATTTCCTTTACACCAGTCTCTTAGCAGACCCTTTCCACAGGAACTCTGGCCTTTGCTAAAGGACCCTGCCCGTGTGCTTCTGCCTACACAGTTCACCTACTATTAAAACAGGAAAAATAAAGGGGACCATCCCTTAGGGGGCATGGTCTGTCACTGCAGGACAACAAAAAAAAGCTGTTCTACCCTCTCAAATTTACCTGATAAAGAGGAACTCAATATACTCTCCCTGGATTGGAAGCAAACAAGAAACCTAAAATACTTTAAGCATTAAAAAAAAAAATCTGTGTGTCTACAGGATAAACTATATGTGCACCAAGACAGTCTTTTCATTCATTTCAACTTATGATTCATATTTTATTTATTTGTTACTCTCATGTTGTACTCTATTTTGGCAAGTCTTATATCTTAAGATTTTTAAAAGTTTATTTTTAACAAAAAAAATCAATCTGTACATTTCTCCTAAAAGACACCCAAATTTGACCAACTATAAAGGCTGTTTATTCCATACTTAGAGATTAATTTTTATTATTATCTGAAAGAATGAACTGTCTGATTTCTTGAGATTCACAGTCTCCCTTTCTGCAATAAGACAGGCACCGAAGCTGTGTCCCTGGACCACAGTATGCTTATTAGGATACCTGTCCTTTCAATACTCTCTGTACTGGTCACTAACTAACTGGTAGAAAAAGCGTTTTTCCATACCCACTCTTTCTCCTAGAGACACAAGTATTAAAAGAGCTCTCACCAGAAATCAAATAACTGGACTTCCCAGCCTCCAGAACTGTGATAAATAAATGTCTGTTGTTATAAGCATTCAGCCTATGGTAATTTATGAAAGCAGCCCAAACTAAGACAGAAACATCAATACTGACACAAACACACATAATGTAAACCACAGCCTCTTCCACACTTCTCGCTACCCCTCAAAAACCCATGCCCTTGACCTGCAGGGTTGATGACCATGCTATACCCTCTACCTGAAATGCCACCTTCTATATGCTTGCAAAAGTCATTCATCTCTCAAGACCAGGCAGAAATGCCACCTCATCTCGAAAGCCCTCTCCCCCCCCAGCTCTCAGGTTTGCAGCAACAGCATGCAGAATGAATGGGACATGCACCAGCTACTCTGTGCCTACATCCTCCCTGGCAGGTAGGCACCAAGCATCCATTATGGTACCTACCCTGAAGTTCTGGGTCTGACCAATGTGGAATATGCAGATTTGGAATTTAAGTGATACCTGAAATTACTGCTTTACCTTCTTGCATACAATCCCAGGGCTGATATATAACATCCTGTCTCTTTGCTACAGTTCTCCAGTCAGATCCTTGTCAAGATATTCTAGAATGTCTAGCAACACTTTCTAGAAGGCCAAAGGTGGGAAAAGCATGGTGTATGTCAATGGAATGGAAGAAATTCATTGATTCAAGATTCAGATACCAAGGAAAAAGGAGTGGCAAGATAAAAAAAATGAAAATATAGCTTGGGGACAGACCATTAAAGACCTTGAGTGACCAACTTTTATACTCAATACAGTGTGCAAAAAAAGCCACTGAAGGTGTTTGAGCCATGTAGAGACAGGATAAAGTTTTATAAAAATCAGTCTGGAAATGGTATGTAGGAAGTACTGTATGTAGAAAGAGGCTAAAAGAGAGGGGACTCAGAAGCAGTCTACTTCTACAATCCAGGCAAGAGAGAGGAAGTCTTGGATTTAGTGGCAGCTCTTTCTACTTCTTACTATGGACCCAAAGGAGGAAAAAACAAGTAAGATTTGATCCTGTCCTGCTGGACATTGCCACACTGGTGTTCCAAAAGTACTTCAAAATCAACATGCACAACACTGAATTCACCAATTTTCCTCATGATGTTCCTATGTCCGGGATCGCCATCCTGAGTCACAGAGGCCTGGCCTCAGCGGAATCACTCCTAAGTCTTCTCGCTCTCTGAGGCAGCACCCACCAGAGCTGCACATCCAACCGGCGCTCTGTTCCCTTTGTGTCCTCTCCTCTTTCTGTTTGTCACTGACAACACCGTTGTTCAGACCTAACTGAACTGTTTTGGTAGAGACACGCCCACATCTCTGACCTGGTAGATGCTTGCTGTTGTCTACCCAGCACCCTCCTTTCCTTAAGGAATGCCACCTCATCTGCTCCACAGGGCAGCATCCACCACAGTTCCTACCTATGTGCTGGCTCTAGCCATGGCTGTGCTTCAAATCAGGCCCATGCAGGCCTCCCATCCCCCAGCTCACAGGGATTGACCTAAGGGATATCTGACCCAAACAGTGCCACCCACAGACCTTCCCTGATGTTCACAGGACATATAATGAGAGAAAGTGACTCTGGAACCTGAGCTGTCACATGCTAGTTTGGAGGGGCCAGGTGGTGCTTTCTCTGCCCAGGTCAACAGGCAACAGACCCAGTGCTGAGACTGGGAAGGAACAGAAGAAGAAAAGAGACAGATAAGGGATGGACCAGTTGCATCTGAGCCCTTTGATCCACCTACCCTGGCTTCTCAGTTATAAACACATTTCTGTGCTACTTCACTTATGGTTCACGTTGAATTCTATCATTTCAGTAGAAAAAGTCCTACCTCACAACCCTTTCCCACTATTACCCCACCATGTTTCAGACTTGGCATTCCTGTTTCTTAAATACATTTTTTAACTTGGCCAAGACAATTTTCTCAAACTAGAGCCTTTTTCCCCCTATATTTCTTCCTGTCAAACTCTGACCTTATCATCAAGCTCAGCTTAGTAAGTCTCATATGAATGGTATAAGGACAAGGGATGTTCATTCTAGTGCTAACTATAATGGAAAAAGAACAAGCACACATGCCTACTAAAAGAAAATCATTTAAATGCTAAACAGAACACCCATATAATATAAAATTACACAAACATTAACATGATGATGTGAACATGTATGTATTTTACAGGGAAAGATATTCTTGAGACATTTAGTAAACAAAGAAGGTTCAAAAACTCTTTGTAATGTATGATCCATAAATGTATAATGATTGGAGAGAGACAGACAGATATCAAAAAAAGAAGAGTCAGGAGAAATCCATGTGGCCCAACCCCAGAAAAGTGTTTATGTACAGTAGTGTCAGCAGGGGGCACCCCTGGACAGCTCAACCATTAAAAGTCTGGCAGCAAAGGGCACACTACAGAGCAACAACCCATTAGGTGACTCATGCTTTTGCAAATGGAAATGGAGGAAGCATAAATGACTACAAGGAATATTAAGTTTCCACCTGCCCATTAATACATCACTTAAATAGTTCTGAGCAGGTTGTCCCTAATTTTGAAAGATTCTTAAGGGATGGTCTGATGTAAAAGCTGTAAGGCACATACAAAAATTCACTAGGGGGGCCCTACAAGGCACACAGTCAGACGATTACCCAATAGGAGAGGCAGGCCATTGGTATCAGATACAGTGGACATGTCACCACACCAGCCAGCTGGAAGGTGCTCCAGCTAGCCAAATACAGGACAATTTAACCACCAACCTAATCAAGAACAGCAAAATTATAAATCAATGAAAACAGGAATCTAAGAGTCCATACGTAAAGGTTAATTTTCATGTCCATTTGGCTGGGCCATGAAATGCCCAGATATTAGATTAAACATTATTGCGGATGTGTCTGTGAGGTTATTTGTGGACAGAATTAACATTTGAATTGTTAAGCAAAGCAGAGCAAAGCAGATTGCTCTCCCCAATATGAGTGGGCCTCCTCAAATTTGTTCAAGACATGCACTGAACAAAAATGCTGAGAAAATTCACTCTCTCTACCTGTCTGTCTTTGAGCTGGGACATCAGTCTTCTGCCTTTGGACTTGACCTTGGACTAGAACTTTTACACTGTAGCCAACTGCAGATCTCCGGACTTTTCAGACTCCATAATCATGTAAGCCAATTCCCTATAATAAATCTCTACAGAGACAGATATACAGGCCTATCTTGGTTCCCGGAAACTTCTGAGAGCTGAAAGGATTTGCTCCACCTTCCACTGAAACAGCAGTTGATTGACCCTCCGAGATAAAGAAGTCTCACTACCACATCCTTCACTGGTCACACCTTCCTGGAAGACAGCTAGGAGGAAGTTCCACAGTCAGTGTATGGAAATGGAGTCAGTTAGGCTCCCTCACCAGGATATCCAGGCAACTATGACTTAGCAGTGTCCATATAACCTTGAGAGTGGGCCCATATGAGCAGGCTCCCCACCAGACAATAAAGGCATGCCAGGCATTCCCATGGCTCCATGAATTTTCTTCCATCTGCCTGAATCCCATGTG